GATGTATAAGACAGGAAATAGACTCAGGAAGTGATATACAGAGCAGGAAGGAAATAGCACCAGAAAAGAGGACATAAAATAGCATATATGGGACCAGGGATATAGCTCATCGCCACAGCACCTGCCTGGCAAGCATGAGGTCCTAAGTTCAATTCCCGGTGCCAAAAAAAAAAGCATATATGACAGGATGTAACCTGTGAGAATTAGAAAGTGCCGTAGTGGGAAAAGAGGTCCAACACAGAGATCACAATCAGAAAAGTCTTGCACAAAGCTGGGTGTGGTGGCACATGCCTATAATCCCAGCACTGGGGAGGCTGAGGCAGGAAGATCACCATGAGTTTGAGGCCAGCTTGGGCTACATAGTAAATTCAAGACAACCTGAACTATATATCGAGACCCTGTTTCGAAAAAAAGACAAGTCTTGTACAATCAGAAAACATATTTCCAAGAAGAGGCTGTGGGAATTAGGAAGCACTAAAACTGCAGTCAGCAGCTGGTCCAGAGAAGATTTGAGCTACCAGAAGGGGAAATGGGTTTAGAAACAGGAAGAGCAGATACAGTTATGTACCTCTTAACAACTTGGACACGTGTCGCTTTTTAAAGGCAATTTCATCATTGTGTGAACATCATAGAGTACACTCACCCCTCCTAGATGGTGTAGCTGCTATGCAGCTAGGCCACATGGTATATATATAAATGCTATAGCCTATTGCTCCTGGAGCCATGCTGAACAAAACAATACTAGATAAAATCAAGGACAAGAGAAAGTGATGCAGTGAAGAAATACAGTAACACGAGATATATGAGGCTGCTGCCAGCATAATGTGGCATACTGTTTATAGTAAAAAATTTTTGCATAAATAGTATGCTGTGAAATAACAATAAAAAGTTTAGTTTATCCAGGCATGGTGGTGCATGCCTATAATCCCAGGAGGCAGAGGGAGGAGAATGGCAAGTTTGAGATCAATTTAGCAAGACTTTATCTCAAAAAAAAAAAAAAAGAGTTTAGAAAATATAGGGCTGGAGTTGTGGCTCAGTGATAGAGAGCTTGCTTAGCATGCTCAGGCCATAGGTTCAACCCCCAGCACCCCCATTCATAACCTAGTAACAGTTGTTTACTAGCAATTTCAGTATTATGTATTATACATAATTGCATGTGCTCTGCATTTATGGAACTGGTAACACAGTAGATCTGTTTACACCAGTTATCATTATGGACCCTTAAGTAATGTGTTGTGCTATATCCTTAAAATGGCTACAACAGTCAGCTGCATATGGTGGTGCATACCTGTGACTCTAGAATTCTGGAAAGCCGAGGCAGGAGGATCAGAAGTTTGAGCCTTGGCAACTTAGTGACTTAGCAAGACTCTGTCTCAAAATTTTAAAAAGAGGCTGGGTATGCTGGTGCATGCCTGTAATCCCAGCACTCAGGAAGCTGAGGCAGGAGGATCACTGCAAGTTTGAGGCCAGCCTGGGCTACAAAGTGAGTTCAAGGCCAGCCTGAACTGCATGGTGAAACCCTGTTTCAAAAAAGACAAAAAAAAAAAAAGAAATTTACAGGGCCGGGGATGTATCTCAGTGGCACAGCACCTGTCTGGCAGGTGTGAGGCCCTGAGTCCGATTCCCGGTACAAAAAAAAAATTTACCAAAGGACTGGGCTGTAGCTCAGTGTGAACCCTGCAGGTTCAAGCCCCAGTACCATTTTTTTAAAAAAAGTCACTAGGCAATAGGATCTTTTTTTTTTTGAGACAGGGTTTCACTATTAAACACGTAGCTGGCAATAGGAATTTTTCAGCTCTGCTGAAACCTTACGGGGCCACCATCCTACATGTAGTCTACCATCAACTGAAACATCGTTATACAGCCTGTGATTGCAATTAATTATAGCAAGAGTCCTTCTGTGTGCAGTAATCAAGAGAGAAACCCATGTGGCTCTGGGAAGTTAGATCTTTCCTAACTAGAAAATTTAGGAGGAAGTTAAGAAGCCTGGCTGCCAGGAAGTGGGCATTTCTTCCCAAATAAGCCCTTGGCTAACAGGAAGCGAGATCCCTCATAGGACGTGGCATGTCTTTCTTGCTGCCTTCTTGAGTGTGGAAGCTCAGTTCATGACAGGACAGTAAAGCCACAGTCGCCTCAGGCTGACGGATCCTTCTCTGTGTCCCCCAGGCCCTGAGAAGCTGCCATCCCTGGAGCATCGGGACTCCCCTCGGCACCGAGGCCCCCCCTCGGCTAGGCCTAAAATGCTGGTTATCAGTGGAGGTGACGGCTATGAGGACTTCCGGCTCAGCAGCGGGGGCAGCAGCAGCAGTGAGACTGTGGGCCGAGATGACAGCACAAACCACCTCCTCCTATGGAGGGTGTGACCCTGTCCACTGTGGCCCAGGACTTGCCTGCCCACCTGTGCTCAGTCTGCTTGCCTCTCCCTCGCTCACACGCGGACCTTGACCATGAGTGTCTGACTGGGGGCACAGCCGTGGCTGCGCGGGCTCTTTCGTCTTTGCGGAAGCATTCCTGCTGGAACACCGCTGGCCAGCCAAAGCCTCCCCCGACCCACTGGCCGCTCCAGTGCTCCCAGTTGTAACCAGGGTGGGGGCACGAGGGCTGCTCAGGACCTCTGTCCCTGGAGCTTCTACCAAAGACACGGCCGGGCCTGGACTCCACAGGGCTGGGGAGGGCCATGTGCAATATTTGGAGGATTTTCTGGGGGCAGCAGAAGGCTGAGGGATAGCATCCTTTCCCATGTACAGTATTTATATTCCTTTTTAGATGAATACTTTCCAAAGCACTTATTTATGCCATGACCTGGGGCAGGGTGTGATGTGAGGAAATGACAGGGGGGGAAAACCTATTCCTGCCCAATGGGCCACCCTGGGGCCCTATCCAAGCCTTCTGGAGGAACCAGTGTCTCCCGTTACCTCTCTCTCTCTCTCTCTCTCTCTCTCTCTCTCACACACACACACACACACACACACACATATTCTTTCTCACACTCCGCATGTTCAGGGCACCAAAACACTACCCCTGATAGCAACTTTCCAGTTCATCTTCTTGGGGCTGCCCATCCTGACCCAGAGGCAAGGACCAGGTACCCTCAGTAATCCAGGAGTAATGATCGTTACTGGGGGCTGCAATGCCCGTGACCCCAGGCTTCAGCATTTCCCAGTGTGTTGGTGGTGCCTTCAATGGTTTATTATTTGGGAACACTGGTGGAGCCTTAGACGGGGCTTTCTCTCAGGTAAGAGAAAAGGGCCCTCATTCCTTGCATCTGGCCATAGCCCCCAGGCCCTGCCTTCCTATGTCTCATGCACTGGCATAGATGGTCACCTTGGGGGGTAGACGTAGGAGCCCCTCACTCTGACCACTGAATCCCTCTCCTTGCACCCTCTCCTGTCCGAGGCAGTCCCTTCAGGAAGGACTCCCAGAGCTGAGAGGCTGAGCATGGCCTCTTCAAATGGGAAGCCTCCCTTGAGGGCAGCTTCTCCCCTGCCTCTCAGGCTGCAGGGAGCCACTCTGACTCTCAGCCCCTCGCTTCAGCTACAACTCCAAAGGTCTGGTTTCAAGTGGGGTTTGATTGTTCTGTTTGTTTTTTGTTGGGGTGGGTGGGTCATTGCGGTCTTAGATTATGTCTCTCTTGCTACCAAATAGTCATGTATTAACTCTTCTTGGATGATGAAATTTAAAGAGTCAATAAATAGAAACACCAAATGACTGCTGCCATTGGCAGCCATAGTGGCCTCCTGCCAGCAACCCTGGGGCTTTGTTTCCCAGCCACGTGGGCTTCCTGACACCAACTCACTTGGGCAGAAGCAGAAGAGAGTTCTTAGAGACTATGAGTCATGCTGAGGTGGCAAGGTTGCCACTGACTTGCTGTGTTACCCTGGACAAGTCACTGTACCTGTCTGGACTGTAGTTTCCTTTTGGGAAAATGAAGGAATTGTGCTAGTCCAGTGCTGCATAACTGGGCAGCCTATTAGAATCCCTTGTGGTTGGCATATACAAATGTACAACACAATGCAAGCACACGCAGTGTGCATGTAATTTATGTATCAGTCAAAAGCTTCTGAGTCGGTCTGGGATGGACTTGGGAAACTGAAGCCAAATGATCAGGGCAGCAGAGACCAAGGCTTCTCCAGGAAACACTTCCAGGGAAGTCTCCTGGCCTGGGAACCTTGACCAAGACCACCAGTTTTCCAAGCAGAGGTAGAATCCAAGTCCGATTGTGGGCCAAAGAGGTGTGTCATTCAGGCAGACATAACAGCACAAAGGCAGCATGGGGCCACTCCATGCAAGACCACAGAGCCCTTCACATCATGGTACACCTGCAAGGACTTCAGAGGGCAGGTCATGTGTCAGCTCTGCCAAACACATGTGAGCATCTTCTAAGCATTGACTGAAAAATGCTGGGATGTAGCTCAGTGGTGGAGCAGGTGCTTACTTTGTGCAAGACCCTGGATTGGATCCCCAGCACTTAAAAGAGAAATAGTTCCTGCAGGGGAGAGCAGACTCATGCTTTGCACACGGACAGGTCTCACAGGGGTTTGCTGGCTCTTCACCACCACAGCACACAGGCAGAACATCTCCATACAGCACCATTTTCCCAAGGAGGAGATTAAACAGATCTATTACAGAATAGAAGGCAATGTTCATGTGGAATTTATGATGAAACCAAACACTGGAAGGACCACGGGCTTTGCAGCTGGATAGACCCGGTTTGGAATCCTGACTTTGCCACTAACCAGCTGCAGTAGATGACTCTGGGAGGGTTGTAGCCGTCTGAGCTGTTTTCATCAGCTGTAAAATGGGCTCATAACTTTTTCCAGAAATGATGGTTGCTTGGTGTCCACAGGTCTTCAGGTTACAAGGAAGAGATTCCTTATGAAGACTAACTGGCAGCAAGTGACTCAGGGAATGGTGGCTCAGACATCGGGCCTCCATCTCAGGACCCCTCGGCCCCTCCCCCTGAGCCCCCGGCTCCTGCACTGGTGCCAGCCAACTGCTCCCGGTGTTTCACAACTTCTGCTGCCACAGGACTCCCGGCCTCTCGACAGAGGCGTGGCCCAGACTTCAGTTTTGGTACAACACACCCAAGGCGGATCTGCCATGTTCCCACGTTCCTGAGTACTCAGTAGGAACGGCACCTGCACAGCCTGCTGTTACTTGAAAGGCAACCCCCCGGGGCAGCGGGCAGCCTGAGAGCTGCCCACAGTCAGGTGCTCAGCTTGAGCCAGTCAGCTGTGGGCAGGGAGGTCCTGGGTGAAGAAGCCTCAGGCCTTCTGCCCAGCAGAGACTCCTGCAAGACTTAGCTCCCCTAAAGGCATGGTTTTCAGCTAGGAGCCCGGGCCCACAGGAGACCAATGTAGTCAGGACCCTCAGGAGGAACTCAGGTGTCAGTATTGTTATCAGAAACCATTGAAGTATAACTTTTATACAAGAAAGTACACATCAATGTGCAGTTCAGCGGATGTGAATAAAGTGAACACACTCAGGCAAAGAAACAACATCCTGTCACACTGCTCATCTTCCTCCTGGTCACCCTGGCTTCCGACCATGAGGCTGTTTTGCCACCCATGGTGGAAAACTACTGCTTCAAAGAGGGTGGCCATGGTCGGCCTCTGAGAGGAGCCGGAGAAAGCAGAGCTGGGTCTGATGTCAAGAGGCAACAGTTCAACCAGAGCAAGGAGCAGTACAAGAGCCTGGTGCAAGGGGCCCGTGTGTAGACCCAAGAGGAATAGGAATGAGGAAAGGGAGGCAGCTAGAGTGGGAACTCTGGGACAAGGGACTTTTGTTCTCTTCCATCCCTAGGCCTGCTGCAGCACCTAACACATAGTAGATGCTCCATAAATACTTGCTGAGTTAAATCTGGAGAATCCAGCTTGGGTCTTGAATGTGACACAGTAACCCTAGCTTCCACTCTATTGGCTGCAAGCCCAGAGCTTCCTAATGGTCTGGGAGATGCGTTCCATTGCTACCCTGTTTCAAAAACAGTACAGAGAGGTTTGATGTCTTCTACAAGGGCCCCTTCTACTGCAGGATAGAATGTGGATTCACATCTGCTTTGCCCAGGTCTCCATGCCTCATGGAAGGGAGGAAAGGTGGCTGTATGGGAGGCTGGAGGGCAGGTGAGAACCTGAGCGGTCACGTTCAGTCACTCATGCAATGTCTGGCTCATGTTACAGCGGCCCCGGGAAGGGTCACCCCAGAGGAGTCCAGGCTGAAGATCGCCTCTTCTTTCCAGGTAGTCTCTTGGGGAAGGGACAGAGAGCAGGGTTAAGCTGGACCATCTGCCTCATGGGGAAGATGAAGCACAGAGATGGACAGAGACTTACCTGAAGTCACACAGTAAGGCAGCATTAAGGCTGGGGAAGAGTCAAGGCAGCAAGGCTTCCTGTGGTCAGAAAATCCAGGAAGGGACCCTTAGGAACCAGGGCAGGCAGAAGGCTAGATTAGCTGGCTACTGTCACACACATCACACCAGCCGCAGTCCACCAGTCTGTAGATCCAGAGAGCTTGGTGAGAGGAGCAGCGAACTCCCAGGCAAGGGCCTGGGAGGGGAAGGCACGGGGGTGTCCAAGGGCCTGAACACAAGCTCCGGACCTGCCCCGCCTCACTGTGACCTGGGGCAAGTGCCTGCCCCTCTCTGGACCCAGCTGACCTCTGAGAGCCCTTCATATCTTTTGCATGCCTGCCAGAAGCCAAGTCTCTCTCTGTCCTCCCAAGCTTAAGCCACGGACCGACTTCAGGAAGCTGCAAGGGGAAGGCTATTTTGGGCTCGGTTGTGGCCAGTGAGGAGCCCTGACCAGCAAAGGCAAATGCCTGGGTATCCCAGGTGGGTGTGGGGTAGACTGCAGGGCTGGATGGGGGAGGAAGACAGTGAGCTGGCGTCACGGATCAGGCTGTGGGAAGATAGTCAGGGAAAGCACTGACTGGGAAAGGGGTCGAGAGGGGACAGACGGGCTCCAGAGCTCAGTGGCCTGGGAGAAGCTATTATCCCCAACATGGGATCTCTGCAGAGCCACAGAACCCCCCAGGTTGGGTGAGCTCATTCCCAGAGGGCAAAGTCACTTGCCCGAGGCCATCTCAGCCAAGGGCAGAACTGGCAACGGCAGACTTCTGCTGTCGCACTAAAGCATGGAGTCCTCCATTTCCCCTGAGATTTCTCATCTCTAGGCTCCTTAATCTCAAATGCTTCGGCAAGCACTTGCCTCCCTGGGCATACCCACACATTTCCTGGTCCTTGACCCGTTCATGTTCTGGGTACAGAGAGTAACTGGACTGCAGATCCAACCCGGGGAACCCCAGGACCCTCTCAGCCCTGTCACCTGCAGTTGGTGGCTCTAGGCTTCTTTTTCAGACCCACCATAGACCCGAGAGACCGTCAACCCTGCCTTCCTGAGCATCAATCATGGGATCCAATAGGGCCAGGCTCAGGAAAAAGTATCACTGAGAGGGCAGGAGCCCAGTGAGGCCAAAGGGAGTCTGGACTTCAGACTCCAACCCATTGGAACTCCAGAGCTAGCAGGCTGGAAAGTGCAGGCAGATTTGGCTGAATGCAGGCTGAACCTGAATGCAGGCTTCAGATCCAGATAATCCCAGCTCAGCTCCTGCCCTGGCCACAGGCTGACCCCTACTCTGGCCTCTGAGACCCAATCCTCCTTAGACTGAGCCCTTCCCCAGGGAGCGAAGGCACACAGAGTATCACAAGCACACCTTCGGGAGGAGCAAGACTTGGCCTGTTAGATGTTAGCCTAGGACAGAGCATGAAGTCTAAGTCTGAGCCTCTTGTTCTTTATAGTTGGCCTTTGGTAGCCATGACCTCTGCATCTGCAGATTCACCCAACCATTTAGTTAGATTTATGATGGCTGTGTCTGTCCCAAACAGGTACGGGATTTTCCCTCATCATTCTCTTAAACAATGTAGTATTTATATAGCATTTACATTGCATTAGGTATTATAAGTAACCTGGAGTTTTGTTTTGTGTTTTTGTTTGTTTGTTTTTGTTTTGTTTTGTTTTGTTTTTTTGGTCTTTTTG